GGGTGAGCTAAAAAGGAGGAAGAGTAATTCGAATAACAATAATTAAAAAACTAAATACTAATTTTAAGTAAAACCAACCCCCAACTATCGTTGGGGATATCAGGTGCTCTTGAAGATGGACATGATATCCTGTTCCAAACTTTTAATTATTCTGTGATATGTAGTGGAACGTGGTGGTAAATATACTCATCATAGATTTCAGAATTAAAATGTGTACGCCAAGCAAAAGACTCATCAGTGACATTCGTATACAAAAAGTTAAAAAGGGTAAATAATAATGCTAGTGTGTAAAGTCCTCTTGAGAAGCCTGTTTGAAGTCTGCTTAATGCGAAAAACGTAACAAGCTGGCAAGAACAGGAGCTGATTTCCGGAATGTCAATGGTATGTTGAAACATGCTCAATGTCCAGTAGAACAGTAAGACGAATGGGTAGAATGGTATAAGGAAACACGAATTGATCGAGAAAAAATGTTAAGTATAGGGAAACAAGCTGGTTTGAACTGTCTATCTCTTTTACATTAAAATACTTAAATAATATTTCTTTATAATGAATTATAATTTCTTTATTTCTATTAAGTACAAAATTCAGTCAACAAACTTTCACCATAAATTAGAAAAAAATAAATATTACTAACTGTTAAATTAAATACAAATTTAAGCTGAATAAAAGTTAAATTAAACTTATATAAGGATTATATCTTTCACACATTAAAAAAACTGTTGTGACTTTCTGATTTTGGTACTTTATTTTCCAAGGAACCTGCAAATACCAACGAAACACCGACCTGTAGTTTTATCTGTAGCTATCACTTTGAATTCTGTCTCGCAATAAGTTATAGTGAGGATAAGGATGCTTTCGTGTTTGAATTGTGGAAGTGTAACATTAATGCTTCCGACTTTGGTGAAATGTTCCTCGTCAATGATTGTCCTTGGTACGTCTTCGTCAGTTGTATAGACTTCAATGCTTGCCCATTGGGATTTCGCTTTTATGGCGACTTCGTATTCCGTAACTACATCACCAACTTTAATCGTTTGACCTTTCTTGATTAACGAGAAAAACGTTTTTGTCTTATCTTCTTCTACTGATATTCTACATCCTGAGACTGCAGCTGCACTAAGCCCTAGACCGTAATGATATTTTGTCATCCTGTCTACGATTGCTTCTCCGAGATGACCAAGGATAACAGCGCCTTTTAAGACTATCATATCTGGGGTCAACGGGAATATAATCTTATACTTCTGCTCAAACATCTCTCGAAAAGCACGTTGGACAAAATCAGAAGCTGCATACCCCCCTACCAACAGAATGGTTGACACCCCATGTGTTTCTTTCTTCTGAAGAAGATCTTCTACATGTTTAGTCATCTTATTAACAGATGATGAAAAGATTCTTTTCATAAATGATGCCGATAGATTAATACTTCTCCCCGATAATCGTACACTCTGCTTGTGTGAATCGGGAATCTTAATTTTCTTTGAAAGGTCTTTTGATATGGCCAATGACAATTCGGAGTTGTGCTTCGCGCCACGTTTTCTTTGTTCCACATTTCTTAGTAATTCAAGGTATTCGTATAATTCCTCTAATTTGAAGGTTCTAATCACCTCCCATCCAATAACTTCTTTTAAGGTTTTTATTATCTGTTCATTGATATAGTTTCCACCCCATGCACCTCCCGTAGCGTTGTAGATTTCTTTCAGTTGTCCAGTAGCGAGTACTTCTGATACTGTTATGTCAATAGTGCCACCTTAAATAGAATGGTGACATCTTGAACCAAGTTATTTCATGCTGTTTAAAAGATTCAAAGGTTTATATAAAATACTATTTAGTATAAATCTCATTCCTATGACACTACACTTGATTCTTTGTACAAAATGGTACAACGATGATGCCCTGACATAGGATCTATTTTAGTGTAACATAACATTTAGTGATATTAAAGTACAACTTGAAACGGTTGTATTTGAAAGACACATTTGACGCCACGAGAGGTTGATGATATATGACAATGATAAGGACAATAAAGGAAAATGTATTTGTATTACTGTTGTTGCTTTCAACCTCAAGTTTTGAAATAATAAAGGAAAACTACTTGACTTTTTCGTCACGGGGACATTTTAATGACCAAGTTTAACGTTCTATAAGCATACCTTTAGTATATAAGAACATCAAGTACTATCATCTTAAACAATTAAACATAAAAAGAATATGGTAAACAAAAAGTACATGTCTATTCAAAATATTGGAACATATGGAAGAAAGAGTTGTTTAATGATAAAAGACTACATAAAACATCTGGAAATAAACTTGTTGCATTATACAGTTTGTTCTTGTGTTGCTATGTTGCACCACTATCCAAAGTTTAGGGATGGTTTGGCACCGGCTAGCATGTTTAACCCCTCCACATTCTGTATGTGCCTGTCCCAGGTCACTTTCATAGATATCATGATAAGAAACGCAAGATCTTGAATATCTTATCAACTGTGAGATATATGCAGGCGCCATATTTATTATATGCAGGCGCTGCTAGAATGGTGCTACAAAGAAATTGAAAATTCACAATTGGATAGCTAACATTATCTCTTTTAATTTGTTCTCAACCAGCCTACTCTCATTGTCAATTTAAAGATGTGAGTCAGGATATGTGGTATCTTTTGTTACAAGTTAAATTGAATAGCAGTGTTCAACATAGTAACCGAACGTTTTAATTGTTTATTGAGAGGACATCATCTGTATAGCAAAACGTGAAGTGATAGGATAATGCAAGCTTCTTTTCAATTTTCCTGGGAAGCTGCTGTATGAAGTCTCATATGAATAAATTAAATAAGTCGGCAAGAAAAGAAACAAATCCATCTTTTGTAGGAATGCTGATTATTTGTTTAAAAACACGTCCTCGAAACGTAATATAAATGTCGTCAATAAAAGAATAGAGAATCTTGATGATGTCAATCTCTGCAGAGAATTGTATTTTCTCCGAATCAGAGTAGTTTTTAAAAGTATGATTAATCCCTTCCTAACACAACAAGTTAAATCTATGTTGGCCATTCTTTTTAATGAAATAAAGTATGACTAATTCTTTCAATCTGACTTGAGTTTTTGAATTTGGGAAACTAGTGTAAAGTATAAAGATATCATAAGTTTATATTGTTGCCAGAGGAAATAGACTTAGATTGCATGGTTCTCTAACAGAAATATAGATATTACCACGTCGGATTCACACATAAAGGTGTAACTTGTAGTATCACAGTAACTCTGTTTTAACTCAACTAACCTATTCTGTTGAAAAAATATCAAACGTTTGAATATTTTAAAGCCACCTAACAAAACAAAAGATACATTAATATCTAAAATGTTGTTTGTCCTTATTCGATTTATGATTTGTGATAAACTTTAAGTTATTTGGTATTTTTGTATTTTTCTAACGGCAATAGTGTTATTGAAATTCTCACTACTACATTGACTTTTTTCCTTTAAATCTAAATTGCAGTCAGGAATATTACAGTTGTTATCCATTCGTTTGATGTGTTTGAGCTTTTGATTTTGCCATTTTCTTAGGGACTTTCCGTTTAGAATTTTCCTCGGAGTTCGGTACTTTTGTTATTTTACTTTTTGCAATAACATTCACCTACCACCTAAATCAACTACCATAAATTGTGCTTTCTCTTCAAAGGCCTTAAGGTCTGATTGATCGCCATGTTCCACTTTGTCCACCGCAAGAAATTTACAAAACATAGCAGCACCTTCTGGTTCTAATGCCAACTTCAAATTATCTTTACTAATGCCTGCCTAATATTGAAAAAAATGTTATCAAGTCTATATAGACAAGTTTCCGTGTATTTTTGTATTACTTAAAGCAATTTTTGCATTTTTTAATTAGAAAAATATTATTGAAATTTTCTGTGTTGCAATGAGATTTTTCATGTAGTAAATTTTATTTAGATTCGTCCGTGATATGTATAAATTAACATAGTAAACATGAGCCCTGTAGTACTCTTATCCGACTTAATATTCATGTAAATATTAATTACAAAACAATTCATCTACAGTAAAATTAAACCTAAAATAAATGATTCAATTTTGTTGGCATTGTTTATTTATATATTTGTATGCTTGTTTTTATTGTTATTTCAGTCTGTTTTTTTCTAATCACAAATATGCGTCTGATATGTTGCAAGTAAAAATGGTCCTTTATGCATTTTTTTCACTTGATAAAATATATGTCATTTCATATTTGACCACTTATAATTTAGAAAATTGCAGGTACCTTTGCAGCAGCTTTTATCATAAATTGCCTAGCTTGATCACTCCAAATAGCGGGGACAGTCAAAACCCAACGTACATCATCGTCCTGTAAACCATGTATTGCTTGGCGCAATCTATCCAATACCTTGTCTTTAATGTATTCTATGCATAACGCAAAAACCAACATGGCTTCCATTTTTTTACCTCCCATTTCCATTAGCATCATGTTTCGATTTATTTCCTATGGATGGCAAAGATAAAAATCAATGATAAATGATAACAATTAAACTGGTACATACCATGCATACTGTGTTAATAATAATAGCATTTGCAGAAACATAATCAGGGCACAAAAATACAAAAAAAGAAGGTGTGTATATCGAATTACAAAGACATTTACGCAATTTCCCACTTTAATGAAAAAGAAAAAGAAAGTACACAGATACAATTTTCACTTCGGTTCTTTTATTATATTTTTTCAATCTACACATCTTTTGTTGTGACAAAATTGGATGTCATTTTATAACTACACAGTAAAAAGGTCAAGATATTATGTAAGTTTGTTTAAGTAGGAATATTTGCGATCATTTCGTATTTCGGTCATATACATCGTAGCTCCTTGAGTATTCAAATATTCATCCTTGCCTTTCAAAGTAAGATTTAAGCGTTCCTGATGAAGGTACATCAAGAAAAGCGCTTTGGAATTGCATCAAATTTACGGTCGCTATTTAGATTTATTTTTCATCTACAGTTATGGCAATTCACAGAATCTTTAAAGCTTTGCTCAATAGATATTTTAAGTGGAATTGAATGTTAGTTAAATCTAAAAATACCTTTGCACTATACAGTTGCATTTTGAAGCGATCGAAGTAGTACCAACTATTAGCCTCGTCATTTTCGGCTAACGTTACATAATGATCTTCCGCCGTAGCCCCAAATGAATGAAAGTGTCCTTCAGGATTCAATAGTAATACTGTAGGGGTTTTGTATGAAAATACATTTTTATCATCCAGTGGAATTGTTACTATTCTCAATTTGTCTGTTTTGAAATCTTGTACTGTAGAAAAGGCACAGCCGGAATATGTAGTTCCAAAATCAATCGCTGCTACGGCAACAAAAGGCCTAAATATAAAAGTACCAATCTGATTAGTCTAGGCCTTTTAAACTGATTTTTAAAGATTGTTCTGTTCTTTTGTTGTACTGTTACATCGTTGTCCCAGGTGCACTCACACACATGTTTGACCACGCTTTATTATCTTTATTATGTGTTAGTCCCACGCCAATAGCCTGCATTACAGTGGTTACCGTTTGTTGTTGTCTGTCTCAATGTTTTTTTCATCAATTATTTTTTAGCATAGATCATTTTGTCTTTTGCTGTGTTTCAAGCTTTTTCAGCTATATGATATAGTTTATTTTCATTGTTGAAGACCTTACGTCGGCTTGTAGTTGTTTTGTTCTTTGATTATTGTCATTTTTGGATAGTTGACTCAATGCCATCATGACACATGACCTTATTTTTTATTTTTTTTTTTATCTTCACGGATTTCTTTTTTTAAAATATCATAACAAACATGACGAAATAATACAACCAGAGAGAACGTATATCAACATGTGTGGTAAACAGACACAATATAGCTATTGATGATGTATAACATAGACAATCAAACGTACAAAACACCTTTTCATAATTTGAAAACAAGGTTATTTGAAAAGGAAATATTAGAATCATCGACACATCTTACTTTTGTGGTGCCTTAAATAGTGATGCAATATTCTTTTCCGGTTTTGCCATATCTTCGTCACAAACTGTTTCATGCATTGGTTTAACTATTTCTTTGTTTCCTGCATCATAGAAATAAGCATTATTGATTTTATTAACATGAAAATAATTTGCTGCATAATTGTTCATCTGGTATGGTTTTTCAAATAGAAGTAGACCGTTTTTGTATCCATATAGTCAGTGGCATATCTTGACTATTATTCATATAGATGATTTATTGTTAATTTCTTAACGTCCAGTGGCAAATATTTCATTCATGTTCAGCACGAAAACAATTTAACAGAAATAGAATATGTGTAATAGATGCCGTCCGGGATGAAGGTCTGTAAAATTTGGACTGCTACTGGAAAATGAAGGTTGGTGGATAAGGACATAAATTTTGCCTTGAAACAGGCCACCTAGGAATCCATCAAAGAGTTGTTGCAAGGGTTCCTAACTCTCTCTCTACACAGTTCTTGTCGATGAAAAATTAAGATTTGTGGACTTTTTATTATTAGATAATGGCATTTTTCAATGCGCGTTATTCCAATACGTTTGAACAATGCACGGTTTGTAAATCAAGACAGGTATAAAAAAAAATAATAACGGATTGAATTTATAATCACCTCGTAAAATGTTTGCACAGCTCTGTGATATGAAGGTTTAAGGTAAACTGCGCCTTGTTACTTAATTTATATGTTTAGGATTTTGCCAAGAAGCATGGGTAGATAATTACTGGATGACATATGAAGTTTAAATTATATGGAAAAAAAAACATGTCAGAGTTGCCCCGTTGCTATCTTCTCTGTTTATTTTAAGTTAGTAAAAATATACACGAACATTGTTTGTCGCTCTTCTTGATCACACAGTTGCTTCATTGCCTAAATGGAAGCTACGCCACTGATAGTCTCGGTTATTTGCGGATGAACAAATTTTAAAAATGCGAATTGTTCTTGAAATGTCGTCCAATGCAAAGAGTGAATATAAAAGTAGATTTATAATAGTAATGAGGCAGCATAAAAAGAAAATATGAAAAAATCAAGGGTCTCAAAATGCAGATATCATAAATAGAACAGACATTTTACTTAATCAGAAATATACATTTATTTCTGTGAAGATGTGATTACATTCCAAAAATTAAAAGAATAAAAATGTTTCTGTTTGAATAAAATCTAATGTCGGTAAACTTCACACAGCCAACAACCAAACAATACAATAACCAAGAGACATATACAGAAAAGAGAATAAGACTTCAGAACAAGTTTGTAGTTTATATAAAAAAAAATTAAGGACAAAAATATAAGAATTGCTCATCATGGTCTTTATTTAGAAAACATTGAGTCTATTTTTTATCGATTAGTTTATTAACAGTTTGAATCAAAGCTAAATGTTATTAATGTATTAGAATCTGTAAATACATTAACTTTGCTTAGTACAGATAATTATAACTTTTTAGTTATCCTGGATTTTGATAGGTTGGTGTATAGTGAATATGTAATGCATTCTCCTATTTCAAATTAATTTCGTTCATATTACACTATCAGGTAAGGATAGATCTTGTTCACTTTTTCCTGGTATTAGCCAAAGCATATATTCCTTTGTTACAGTTCATGGAAAACGCATCATTTGTGTGCTTTGTAACACGTTGGTGTTTTTGATATCGTCTTGAAATCGATAGAATATAGTGAATTAAAACTCCGAATCTTTTACTTATTCATCTTTATTGATATTTGGTTATTTCAACAGATATATCATGTTAAGTACAGGTATTAACAAAAATAATGGTGTAGAGAAGGTCTACATTTTATCGTGTTTCACCAGTTTGAAGATTTCTGCCATATTGATATGTATTTGTTTTATTCATATACAGTACTGAACATACTTTAGGCGGAGAGATTATTGGCTTTGAACTATCCCCCCCAGTAATTGTTCTGTGTGTCTTTTTTCTCTTTTGTCGCCATGTTAATTGGTTTTGTGTTGTGCCTCGTGTTGATCTGATGAGTCAAGCCATCTTGTAGGCCTATAGTAGTCTAAATGGATTTATTTCACTCTGTTTGGCAAAAAACAAATGAAAAAGAAACTGAATCTGAATTCGTATTTGATACCTTCGTTGTCATTTTCATCGTCAGAAGTTGAAACTATTTGCTGTCTTCCTTTTGTGTCATACACTCCCTGTTAAAAATGAAAACGATTGAACCGTAATTTTTATAAATTAAACATTGAGCAACAGCGTTCCATTTGTAGCAGATTAATAGTAAACAAAAATGCATTCTTAAATTTACTTTTATTGCAAAATGAAAAAGACCTTTCTATCTAATATAATCACTCTTGGGGAAGGGGGCTCTTTCTGTGTTATATGCATGGCTTATATTGAATACCAAAAAACACTACCGTGGAGTGAAAAGTCTGAGGCAAACCGGAGTGAAACTCTCCGTCAATATTTACGGATAAATACCACCACTGAATCGAGTGCGATACGATATTTCTCTTTCGAGGCATACAGTGAATTTTTTCAAAAATTTCAAACGGGAGGCTTTTGGAACGTTTAAGATATTTAGAGTTTAATTGTCGAGAGTGGAAAAGCATCGTATCGTACGAGATATCGTTATGCAATCTGTAACCGTTTCTCGTCATAATTGTATTTTGACCAATGAAGACCTAAGATCAAGCAAACCACAGCATTAACAGGCTCAGAATAAAAATAATAAAGTACTTTATTAAAATTGATAAAAGACAATAAAGAAGACTAGCGTGCATATGAATATACGGAAAGTGAAAACAACTGAACAAAACAATCAAACAGGTCATTATGTACTTTGTGTCGTTGATATGTTGTCTTGTTGGCGTACATATAAAGTGTCCCTTAAATAGGTAGTTTCACTATTACTCTGAAGTCGGCTTTGATTGCTAATAAGATTTAGGTCTATAGTCTGAAAAGAAGTTTTGTAGAGCACTTGGCAGACCCATTAATACAACGTTTTTGTAAGGACACGTATGTAATTTTCATATAGACCTGTGCATGGTGTGATTATTCAGGGTTTTCCTCGTTGACATTAAGGTATATATTGATTGTCCAAGTGAATTGGCACTACCTATTTCCGTTATCAAGCAAATTATGTAAAAAGAACACAAAACAATGTTGTTTTTGGAAATGATGTTCTAATTTTGTTTTCATGCAACGTCATTTACAACATCATGACGACACCCAGTGTATGACATCATATGATTGAAAGTACAAATTAACTTTCACATACGAAACTATCGGCTTTAATTTGACTGAAAAATCATAATATTTCATTGCTATCAATATGAATATAAAGAAAAGTTTCATACAGTACCCTGAACATTTTGTTGTACATGTCTGTTCTAATATTATTGATGGCTTGCACCCATTCATTCCTCTTCTCGAAAGTATCAGCTGCATTCGGAAACATGTACATTAGATTATTTTAGTTAGCCAAGCCATTCATGAAAGGAACATTTTAAAAATACAATCAAAATGCAGCAAAAGATTATGAAATTATTATATAAGTTGATTGCAGATGTAAAGAAGGTAACATAAAATACAAGCTCACAAATTTCTGAAAATAACAGATGAATGATCTGAAAATAAAACGAAGCTGCATGGATATAATTTATTATGATTTTACACCTTTATTATATAAGTCAGCAGTGAGCTTGATTTTGATTGGTTAAAAGCCAGTGTATTTTAATGTATGTTCTTGTATTTAATTAATATATCGTACATACATTAACGATAACGGGGTAAATACAAAGGGATATGCCCTTTTTAATTTATCTGCTTTGATATTTTCCAAAACAAATATTTCTTTTTTTTTCGGGGAGAAACTGTTTTCTCTAATGTTTTGATAGCAAAAGAATAATGAAATAACGTAACCATACAGAATGGTAATTGCATAAACAGATTACATGTAATTTAATTCATATATATCTGCTGTAGGAACTGATTAAAGAAAACATGGAATTACATAGAACATAAAATTGAGAATGGAAATGGGGAATATGTCAAAGAGACAACAACCCGACCAAAGAGCAGACAACAGCCGAAGGCCACCAATGGGTCTTCAATGCAGCGAGAAAATCCCGCACCCGGTGGTGGTCCTCAGCTGGCCCCTAAATAAAATTGTGTGCTAGTTCAGTGAAAATGGACGTCACACTAAACTCAAAAACATATAAATGAACTAAATTTAAAAGCATACAAGACTTACAAAGGCCAGAGGCTCCTGACTTGGGACAGGCGCAAAAATGCGGCGGGGTTAAACATGTTTTGTGAGATCTCAACTTATGTACATTTTACATCTTTTCTAAACAACTTTTACAAAGAGTACACATATCTTTAAAATGTCACTATTTAGAAATAAAAACAGAACACGACTTCTCCGCATTAAAAGAGGATCAACAAACATAATCCTTGCAGACTTTTACATACAGATTATACCATATTTTGTTCGACCATTTTTTATACTGAAATGACTGTAATTATATCAAACTTCAAAGCAGGTTACCAATTTATGTGTGGTGAATTCTTTAAGTATACTAGTTACATGAAGAAAAGTTTAAGAATAATCCGGAGTTATATTAGTTTTCTGATTTGTCCAGCTCTATACCGTAATGACCTTTAACGTACCTCGTAGACGGTAGACTTCATCATCTGCTGATGTAATATTGAAGGATACGAGGTCCTTTTTCAAACTTGTAACTGAAAGCTAAGAAACCATTTTATGTCTTCATGAATTATTGATAGAAATCATACAAAAAAGTACATGAAATTTATAGCTTAGTTTTTGTTTACCATTCTTTAAATGGGATATCGAAATCGAAAAAAATCTTTCACTTTTTATTTTTAGATGCAAGATTCAAATAACTTGTTTGCCCTCTAACAAAGATATGCATCTAAATTTTAATGCCATTTTTATCAGGCTGTAGCTGTTTGAAAGAGATTGTTGGTGTAATTTCATATATCTCATTTTGTTTCTATATCAAATAATTCAACATTTGGCTTGGTTCCAGAATATTCAAAAAGTTAATGAGTTTTCAAAGTTTACTTCCTTAATCTTTCCTGGTTCAACATCTTATAAAAGATTATTTATAATTATTGACCACCTTTATACTTTAAAATACGCTATGTCAACAAACCTGGGGAATAATTTTCAGAAATCAATGACTTCTAATTGTGCAGGTTCCTTAAAAATGTTTTTTTTCATTACAACCAGCTAAAGACTACTAGCAAATGTTATCAGTTTTCAAAATACTTACAGATTAATAGTAATTTTTAATTGTGAGTGACTTTGTACATTGGTTAGCATTGTTAATAGTAATATGAGTATTCGTAGTTTCAGAATGGTTAATAATTATAATGGTTAACCATATGGTCTTAATAACGGATAACCAAGATGCCATTCTGAGCTGAAATACATACCAATAAAAACAGTTTTCCTCTTTGTTTCAGGTTTCCCCGCAGGGGTTTCTCCTGTTCACATAATAAAATCATTATAAAATATATATATATTATTGTGACATATATATATATATATATATATATATATATATATGTAGGACTCTAAAGTGCGATTGGGACGCTAAAACGCGATGGTCACGCTAAAGTGCGATGGCCTACGCTAAAGTGCCATGGTTTGATACGCTAAAATGCGATGGTCTGTGCGATTCATTTGTGTCAATATCCCTAATGCGCCTAAATTGAGGAACACAAAAGTTGTGCGTAAGCAAAAAATCTCTGTGTAGTGATATTGGACATGTTTCTATTTTTAACAAGTGACTGAGCATTTTTAACAAGTGACTGAGCATTTTTAACAAGTGACTGAGCTTAACCTTTTGTGTTAATTTGAAAAGTAGATGACCATAGAATAAATGTGTAAAAACTATGCAGTTGTTAAATGTATGCAAAGTATTAAATTTTCAAAGAACTTATTGTGTGAAAAAAGGGATTTTTTTACCACCAGGAGCCGCATCACGAAAGGATTTTCGGGGTGTGCTTATTTACGGAAAAATGAATCGCACTTCGTACCCTGAAAATTTAACCACATATGTGAAAATGTCTCAGCTTCGAAATGAGCCATCGATGCATATCCAAGTTTACGATATGGACTGTGCTACAGAGGAAAACGTTACCATTACCGCCTATGTAAAATTAATTACGCATATTGCCCCAATTCAACACGCTAAAGTGCGTTTTTCCGTAAAAAGTATCGACGTTAGCAACATTAAACAGCACTATGACGAGAATGTTTGTCCAGATTAAGGGTTTTTATTACACAAGAAAAGAAAGAATAGAGAAACAAATGATCACAATCTGAAACTTTTTTTTGTCGTAGCTGGAAGAGGTTAACTTAATTTGTAAAATTGTAGAGAGAAATTTTAATCAAAACATCTGGGGTGTCAAAAAAGTCTTCTTTTTGACTTTCTAATTGAATATTTCTATTAAAAAATTACAATATGGTCTGTTATTTCTGTTAAATAATGAATGTACGTCAACTAGACAGCAACCTAACGGACAGATGTGTAGTATCTATATGATTGCCAATCAGACAACTCTCTATCGAAGACCTAATGTCATTAATGTATGCAACTTTTAAGTTATAGTATGACCTTTAACGCGGAACATTCAATTTGGCCTACACCGAATAGTATTCTATTAAGACCAAAGGGCCTCAAAACAACCAGAAAGACTACAGGTTGATGTATAAATAAAACAATTCACGAAAAAGTACTAGGAACTCAGCAACAAACAAAAACCATTGCCTGAACCACATTCCCGTTACACCATAGGACTTTATCGTGTCATACCATCGCATTTTAGCGTGTTATCTGATCGCACTTAAAAAACAAACAACCATCACACTTTAGCGTCTGACACCATCGCACTTTAGCGTAGACCATCGGACTTTAGCATTACCATCGCACTTTAGAGTCCTTCATATATATATATATATACTGAAAATACAATTAGTTAAGTGAGAATTACCTTAACCTACAAGGTATGACACCTCTAACACAGGTTTAAAAGGAATCGCCACTCGGCAATTCGGAGAATTTACTATAAACACTGGACACTTTTAATTTGCAAAACACTTATTTGCAAATCCGCCGCCGCCTCTCCTTAGAGCTACAGTGTCGTGTATATAACCAAAATGTGCGGAATTACATGGCATTCAATAAATTCATTGCTTTTCTGCTGTTATTATTATATATATTTTGTAATTTGATTTAGAAAAACATGGGATTTTCAATATCCCATGGGATACGGCAAATCCCATGGGATTGACCATTATCCCATGGGATTTTGGTTAAATCCCATAGGATTTTTTTTGGTCCAATGGGGTAATTGTAGTCGAAAATTGTCAGATCCGCTGTCGTTACATTTTCTAGTCAGGGTCTAAAGACAAATGCCGGATGATAAAATTGAGAATGGAAATGGGGAATGTGTCAAAGAGACAACAACCCGACCATAGAACAGACAACAGCTGAAGGCCACCAATGGGTCAATGATGCATGCATTGCAGGAAATACTACGACAACACAATTTCTAATTAAAGTCGTTTTCAGTACACGTGAACACGCAACAGGACATATAAGAACTAAATAGCAATAAGAAAATATGCAATAAGAAAAATCAACAATTAAACTCTTATAACCGTACTCAGATTTTGCTTTTGTATCCTGAATTACTAGTATAATAATGGTAAGTTTGCAAGTTTGTGGCAGGCAAAAAAATATCATAAACTTCTCAATCATATGAAAACTTTGTAAAAAATATACATTTATCGTTAAAGTGTGCGTTTTGCATCCATCTTTTTATAGAATTATTTATTTTGAAATCTAACTATCTGGTAAAGAATTGTCTTTCATTTGGCTATATAGACTTATCGATTGCAGTACTAGTTATAATTGTAGGCCAATCACTGCTTAATTTTTAGGTTGCTTCTAATATTTTGAGCATTGCACAGAATTTGGTCTTACTGTGTTGTTACGATCGGCATTTAGGGGAAACAAATGTCGCAAATACAGTTGACAGGTAACTCAAAGCATCTGTAATATCATATGTAACCTATCTTTACGAAGTATAATTGTATTTGAACAGGCAGCAGATGTTTGCTCTAATCATTATCATCACCCGATGATAAACTGTCCTGTGCGAAGACTGTAGATAATTTTTTTGACGGGATTGCTTCACTAAAGTAATCAATACTCGTGCAACCAGCCGTAATACTTTCAATTGGTTAGATCGTCCACTTCTAACACAGAGTTCCCGTGTTCGGAAAAGCATGCCCAACTAAGATACTAACAATGGTCAAGGGTGATATCAAGCCAGAGTTTATGTAAAGCGTCATAGTGGTATGATTAGTTTTGAGGTGGGGGAATTGTAAAGGTATTGTTTCCTCTGAGAATTAGATACTAAAGCCGTAAGCCAGCCGTAATCAGTTGAGCAAGGGGAGTTCTTTAGCTTGGTTGGTTAGAGCACTGAATTCAAACACAGAATTAATAATCGGGTTTGATTTCCGGAGGTGACAAATTGTATTTTAGTGAGAATTACATAAAATAAAATTGAGAATGGAAATGGGGAATGTGTCAAAGAGACAACAACCCGACCATAGAGCAGACAACAGCCAAAGGCCACCAGTGGGTCTTTAATGCAGCGAGAAACTCCCGCACCCGGAAGCGTCCTTCAGCTGGTCCCTAAACAAATATGCATACTAGTTCAGTGATAATGGACGGCATACTAAACTCCAAATTATATACAAGAAACTAAAATTAAAAATGATACAAGACTAACAAAGGCCAGAGGCTCCTGACTTAGGACAGGCGCAAACATGCGGCGGGGTTAAACATGTTTTATGAGATCTCAACCCTCCCCCTATACCTCTAGCCAATGTAGAAAAAACAAACGTACAACAGTACGCACAGTAAAACTCAGTTTAAGAGAAGTCCGAGTCCGATGTCAGAATAGGAAACAAAAGAAAATAAACTAAATAACAATAATACATAAATAACAACAGACTACTAGCAGCTACTGACATGTATGTATGCTCTATTGATACACATTTAAAGAAAACATAATATTAAACCAACTTTAATAATTATAAATAGTCTTTAAGTTAAATATTCTGAATTTTTGATGTTTATAACTTGAAACAGTGGTAGCCTCGTCATCATGTACTTCATTGAAGTCCGTTAGATCGTATCTAGTGTATAAAAAACGAGTTGACAAAGGTACTCAAAAGGTTAATATTAAAAGTATACGTACATTAAAATACTTAAGAAATCCATCCTCTGACAACTGAAACCACTGGTCTTTATAACCATTGAGAAGAGACATCCTTTTCTTTAGATACCCTTCCTTCATATTTGTGTCTGTAAAAAGATGTTTCTTTATACTGAATCTGTTTATACACAATTTATATAGTCATTCGTAAAATGATAACTACGTTGCCACACCCCCCCCCCCCCCCCCCAAAAAAAAAAAAATAATAAATTCACATGTAGGACTTTCGGGATCCAGACACTTTATGAATAACTGCTATGGTCAGTTTTAAAAGGAATAACTTCCGGGGTGAGTTTTTAGGAATAACTACCAGGTTCAGGGTTTTTTTTTTAGGAATAACTGTCAGCGTCAGTTTCTTAGTAGAACTTTCATTATCAGTTCTAGGGTACAATTGTCCTATTTGCTCTAGGGTAGGACTATCAAATTCGGTTATATGATAGAATAGTCCTAAATGACGAATAATTTAGAGCATCTCTCTTTCATAATGAAAAGCATTTCTAGTTGATGAGGAGATAAGGGGAGGTTAGTTGAATGAAAAGTCCTTGTGAGGAAACTAAAATAAAATAATTAGATAGTGAAATTAAGTAGTCTTGGATAAAGTTTTGTTAGTTTTGTTTTTTCTCCATGTTTGAAATCAGTATTTAGTGTTTACATACAAGTGTCATCATTTATCAGCAAAAAATCAGATTTTAGCAATTTTAATTTTAAAAACCAGAAAAGGACACAATTAAGATTTAATTCCAAATCTATAACTAAAAAACATCTTCTGCATGAAAGTGTTCGTACTACATCTAGAAAGTTTGAGATAATGACACTTTTCCTGTTTTATCAAAACTAATTGCTCTTTTTAGAACAAGAGAAAAGAAAAAAATATTTATATATTACTTCTATGTAAATCTGATGTAATCGTCTCATATCTTTGAGATGACGCCCCTCAGATATGAAAAGCTTACATCTAATACTTATAAAACAGGACAGTAGCGTAATGGAGGCAAATGCCTCACTTTTGAAATGACAATCGAACTTGAAACATCTTCTTTTTCAAAATTTGGTTAACATTTTCAGGAAACGTTTGATCTAAATTTATTCATTACACAGATAATTCCAATCTAGCCAGTTTGAAGCATGATTTTTTTTTTACTTATGAAATAAACAAAATTACATATTTGTATGGAACGCCACAGCTGCCTTATGATAAAGATAATCATATCATTAAGGGTTGAGATATAACATGAACAAATGTTCTATACTATAAGGACATTTGACTTTTTAGTAACTGCTTTTTTCCAATTTCGACATATAACTAAATATTATTTCAGCCATGTTTTGTGACGTTCATGTTTACCAATTACAACAATTCTATAAAGTTTGCCCTAAATCATCCAAGCAAACTCAAGATATGGTACAAAATAATGAACAAAATCTGACAATTAATTATATATTAGCTAACTCTGGAGCGACAAACGGAAAATTAAGCTTCCTTTCATTAATCTCCACACTAATGTAAAGTTTGTAGGAAATCAATCCAGGAATACTAAAGTTAGTGTAAGATTTGTGAAAAAATTGACTTAAATGTAACAGTTGAAATTCCGTAACTCTGGAACAACAAACTGGAAAATAAAAAATAAAAAAATCTCAGGGGAACTTCCTTTCATCAATCCAAACAATAAATCTAAAAGTCAAAGTTTCGTAACTTTGCAATGACAAAGCCAAAAATAAAAAAAAAATATCGAAATGGAGCTTTATTTCGTCAATTCTAATCTTGTGTTAAAGTTTGATGAGAACTGGTTAAAACGAATTTGAGTTATCGTACGAAGTGTTGACGGACAGACGGACATTGGTGTAACATAATACGTCCTGTCTTTGACAGGTGTATTAAATTGAACATTTATACACAGCAGTTTGATTGATTGACTTTTTGGTGCTTTTTCACCACATTCAGCACTCTTTGTTATTTCGTAGCGGTCTGTTTTATTGTTGGAGAAAGCCGAAGTGCTCGGAGAGAATAACCGATCCACACAGCAGACATTTTGTGGTTGATTTACTGATAAAAAAAGGAAAATATGATGTCAATTTATCGTACATACAGCGTGATTAATGAAGTATATTTATTAGTATTAGATATTCTCTCCAACTTTTTCTATAAATTGGTTATTCATGCAAAGAATATTGACCTCTCCGAAAAATATACGCTTTTTAAAATATGGAAAGAAAGATATTTCGAAAGAGTGCATAGTGATTTTTTTTTCGAAAGGGAGCTCAAACTAGGTTCAAATATACTTGGGAGCGTCATTAAAATAATACGCTGAAGCCTGCTACGTGTTTGCGTGCAATCCATCATTTTTCTTGGACAACTATTACCCTAACACTGAGCGCATATTTGTTTTGTTTTTTTTACTCTCTCTCTTTCTCTCTCAAATTAATTTGAAAGATAAATTTCTATCGAAATTTTAATACTCGTCGCATCGCATGCCTATGTAGCAGGCAATTATGTTGGAGATCAGAGACAACAAACTCGATTCTGCCACACATTACTTTTAGAAGTATAATAACCATCTTTTTCATACACATGTTGCGAGGTAGATGACTGGAGATTTTTCTACTCACAGTAAACATCAGATATTTATATATTTGTTCTATTTGATGAAGCTTAGAATATAATACCGGCTCTGCATATTGGCAGAACAAATTGGATTCATATATATACATCTAGTTTTGATTCTTTTAATAGCAATGCTGGGAATTAAGGCCATAGTGTATATCTTGATTTTGAATCTTTTATAATGTGGCGCAGAGGCAAAATAGATAAGAGGAGCTTACTTCTGATCACATTTTCACTGTATGTTTCTTTTCGAAAAGTGAGACTGTGATCATATGTAAACTTGTCTCACTTTTAAGGCACCGGAGCCTGATCTTTATCAAGTATCCGAGTTAATCTTAAATAATCTAATTTATTGATACAATGAAGATTTACTTTGATGCATATTTAATAAAAACTTTATTTAATATAGATGATACCATTTCATGAAACTAATCTTATGCCAATTATGCAAGAAAAACCATGTAAAGTTTAGCGTTATCATGACGTGAACGTCAAATTACACCAATGGGGACATGCCATTGGACATCTAAGATCGTTTCTTATTTTCTACCTGCAGCTCAAACAAAAATACATATCATATCATTTTAGAGGAAATTAAATGTATTTCCCCTTTATATCAGTTAAAAGGTGTTAAAAATTGGAGATCAAGTGAAATTTCGTTTAATAAACAGCCTTCGAATTATTCTATGCGTCATTTTGTCCACCGGGACGTTTCATTGGACACGGGAAAACTGACGATGTTTTGAAAGTATATATTAATGACTTCAGATAGCTTCTTTAGGACATGTATAAATTTTCTGATACTATTGAAAGCAACTTACATCTGTTATATCTTATAATAGTGAAGGCAGAAAGTTTTTATAGGAGCTGAGCAGCTGAATGGGACATTTTTTCTCTTGCAGATCTCAACGCCACTGACAATTTTCTTTCACTCACAGTTAAAAACGTCTTTGACGCCATTTTTCGTCAATGGTATACAATACTGTTGCAAAATGTTATCCCATTTAACCTACTAATTAATCCACACTCTGATTTCAAAGACGCGCACAAAACAAAATTGTAAAAGCAGGACACCCTTTAAATGACGTTACTGGCATCTAAATGATCATATGTTTACATTAAATAATATACAAACCACAAAATCACCTAAGTTATTGATTTCCTTGGTTTGTTTCCTTTCGAATGATATGTAGAACATGGATATTTATCGTGTAGGAAAAGAGCGTGAATTAGAATAACCCGCTATCTACCGCATTTTTGCAAAGAGGCACCAATATCGTGCGCAACGTCTATACTATTCTGTCATATTACTATCTTACGACGATAAGGTCGTTTACTAAGATGTCTTTGTAGTGGAAAGGAAACAAACCAAGTTTGGCTGTACCCGTAGAAACTTATTTCAAACGGAATAGCACATCCTAAATTTAACAGTGATGTTGTAAATCGAGCCCGGAAATTTAGATACGATCAGGGTAAACTTATCCATCCTTTTAAAAAAAAGGTATTATAAAAGGTTGATAACCTATTCAACACTGTAATCAAATCTTTGAATATTGTTTTTATTGGTATAAGTATTGAAACCAAGGGCATGCACTGCGAGTTCTGTTAAAAAAAATTAGTTGGCCGGCGACACAAAACTTCCTTGAAAACCTCGGGGATCCCAAATATTTAATTGCATTGACCAGAATGTTTATATTAATAGAAAGTCATCGCCTCAACTCTATAGATTATCAATCAGTCTGTTAGATTTGTCTCATTCATGTTTTTCGTCTAATTTTAAGAACTGAAATGCATACTCATGAATCAATGATGAAATTTCCATTCTTGCATTTAACACTCCTGAAGGATGCCTTAAAGATTCAAATTTCCAGAGTTAACTGACATTGTTTAAGTTAAAAGATTTATCCGATTTAGCATGTTTGATAAAATTTTCTTGTAAGATGGGTAAAAACTAGCTACAATTGACGGTCCCAGGAAAAAGAGACAGTATCGATGTTGGAATCGTCAGAAAACAGTAAAGCTTGCTTACAAATATTTATAGCCTAAAGAGTTTATTATATTAAAACTGCTTTTTTTCTCTGTCGGTGACCGGTGATCAGTCTTTTGTTAGAAATCTTTTTGTTTAAAGGCATCTGAAAACGTCGGACTGTATTTGATGATAGACTTTTGAAGTTGCTATGCTCTATGTCCGTAGAAATGACTTTGAAATTGACAAGGAGATGAAATTTTGAAATTTGATAGTTTTGGTCACTGTAGAATTGGAAGGCTTTTGGTGAATAAAGATTTACTTTCAGAGTGACAAACGATTATTTGTTGTAACTAAAAGATAAGTGGAAAATTTCAATTTTCAAAACAAACTGTACAAACGCATCGATCTATGCTGGGTTTTTTTCGGGGCGTTTGAAAACGTTATTATTCAGACCAACCAAAAGGTTATATTTACAAATTAAAATCGAATTAAAAGACGGAAAATCTCACATCTTCAAGATATACATAATAAAGGTATCGTAACACTTATGCGAAATTGCTTCGGAACTTGCAGATTTTCAGTTCACTGTCATACCTCATTTAATGAATCCTTTAATGATATATATACGCTAGAACACACCCGCTACTGAATTGAAGTGCCTACACCTTATTTTCAGCCTGGAATTTTAGTATGCATATTGTCTCTTCAGTGATATATATACAAGTCTAAATTGAAAACAACGTTCAAACATATGATTGCGTTGGATAAAAATCGCAATTTTTATACGTGTGCATGCAAAACAAATTTCTTGGTAGAAGGGTCTGAATACAGCACAAACAACATTTTCCAAAAGACCAAAAGAGTGAAAAAATATATTTTAACAAAACGCATTTGACTAGCAGGTCGAACAACTGATGTTCTTAAACCCTGCTGACTGCCATTGACGATTGCCAAATAAATTGATCACAAGGTGTAACAAAATGTATCTCTATATTAATTTAATACCAAGCAGAAAAAAATAAACTTGCAGAGAAGATGGTAAACCACAACATGAGGTGCTAAATTTTTTAAACCATATCCGGATTTCGACAATTAATGTCTCTTCAGTGATGTTAGGGATCGAAAAGTATTTGGAAGGCCATTTAATTTACCTCAATATACGATAGACTCTTGAATTTTAAATAGTCAAAATAGGATGAACGGATTATATAAACCGGAGGGAAAATATAATACAAGCCCAAACGAAATAAATATTAACAAGTCTAAATTGAAAACAACGTTCAAACCTATGATTGCGTTGGATAAAAACTGCAATTTTTATATGTGTGCATGTAACAAATTTCGTTGTAGAAGGGTCTAAATACAGCACAAACAACATTTTCCAAAAGACCAAAAGAGTGAAAAAATATATTTTAACAAAACGCATTTGACTAGCAGGTCGAACAACTGATGTTCTTAAACCCTGCTGACTGCCATTGACGATTGCCAAATAAATTGATCACAAGGTGTAACAAAATGGATCTCTATATTAATTTAATACCAAGTAGAAAACAATAAACTTGCAGCAAAGATGGTAAACCACAACATGAGGTGCTAAATTTTTTACACCATATCCGGATTTCGACAATTAATGTCTCTTCAGTGATGTTAGGGGTCGATATATATTTATAAGCAAATCCCAAATACACCGTTTGGTGGTGCGCCTGACAGAGGCGGAATGTACAGATTATGTAGCAGGTAACAGTTAATATTGGTAACGGTATCGGATTCGACTCGGAACTTGTTTATTAGTTATGTATAAAGTTAAATTCTTTGATTCATCGTTTTTAAGTCATGCCGGCTAACAAATTTGACCTCGTTATTTTAGTATTATAGATGTGTATATATATGATGCCTTTCAATGCACTCTGTACAGAAATTTCTTGGTTTTATATCATGTTTAGTGTCCATAATTTAATATTTTTGGATACACAATATAAATACTCGAAATAAAGAGTTTCAAAATTTATTTAGAATGTCTGTTAAAAGATGTTTTATAGATCGTCTCCTATCGGCATTCGTCCGTTTAACTCGCCCTGTGGGTTTTCATCTCTAATTGCTCAATTTATCCTTGTATAGTTATCAATGAAATATCTTCCGAGTTCTAAAACTTTTTTTTCAAATTGTAATGAATTACATGCTATATATTTAATTTTTTTTAATTCCACACTGTCATATAAAAATTGATGTTTAAAAAAAAATGTTAATGCTTCCCTCTGAAGGCGTCGGATATATATTTTTGTAGATACTAGTAGGACTTTTTTTTATTGGATTTTTGTCGAGCCTTCGACTTTTGTCGAAAAAGCGAGACATAGCGATCCTACATTCCGTCGGCGTCGGCGTCGGCGTCGTCGTCGTCGTCGTCGTCGTTGTCGGCGGCGGCGTCCACAAATATTCACTCTGTGGTTAAAGTTTTTGAAATTTTAATAACTTTTTTAAACTATCCTGGATTTGTACCAAACTTGGAAAGAAGCTTGTTTATGATCATGAGATAGTATCCAGAAGTAAATTTTATAAAAAAAAAATTCCATTTTTTCCGTATTTTACTTATAAATGGACTTAGTTTTTTTGCCAGTTAACATTACATTCACTCTGTGGTTAAAGTTTTTAAAATTTTAACAACTTTCTTAAACTATCCTGGATTTGTACCAAACTTGGACAGAAGCTTGTTTATGATTAAAAGCTAGTATCTTAAAGGAAATTTAGTTTTTCTTCCAGTTAACATTACATAACAGTCTGCAGTTTAATAATAGATGCAAGTTTTTAAAACATTTATTAGATTCATAAACTATCCTGGATTCTTACCAAACTTGGACAGAAGCTACTTACAATCAAAAGATAGTATAGAGAGGAATATTTTTATTAATTTTTTTCCTCATTTTTGTTCAGCCTGTGATTAACAGCAAAAGTAGGCGAGACACTGGGTTCCGCGGAACCCTTACGAATTTTTTCAAATGTCTGTCGTTAAAAAGATTTTTTCTTCTGTCAAATCTTAATTTATTTCAGAGAATATTAAGACAATTTAGGCGCATTTTATTTTGGAAGATTATTTTAAAATATATAATCACAAAATTGTCCGGTGCATTACATTAGCGCGTTAAAATCATTACGTTTGCGCGCAGGTTTTGATTACATTTGCGCACAAGTTTGAAAGGAATACTAATCACTCTGTAATATTCGCAGTTAAGTTACATGTTTACCTACCTGTCTCATGATCGTTTTTTTTTTCAGAATTCGATATGAAAAATGTTTTATTCAAAATGAGAAATATGTATAAAATTAATATATTTCGACTTTACTATGAGTTATCAAAATATTTTCCTGTAAAATAAAGGCGCGAAAATTTTAATAAAAAGCTGTGCGCCAACGGTTTTTTTAATCCACAAATGCGCGCAAATGTAATGCGCCTAAATTATCTTACTATTTTCTGGAATTTATTAAGATTTGACAAAAAAAGAAACCGTTACATTTCAAATGAGGATATTATACTTTGATGTATTATTTGGATGAAAATTAGTACTTTAACTAAATAGTAATTTATATAAAAAAAAGAAACATTATTTCTTAATAAATATAATTTACTTAAAGTCTTACCCTTTGTAGAAGCAACTCTTCAAAGTAAAAATCAAATAATGGGTACCTTTACCTCAACTAATGTCTTTTACTGTTAAGTATGTCACTTTATTATTAATAATAAAAGACTACCGAACAACATGAATTTCAGAAAATCGAAGTTAAAAAGAACTAATTAGTTTTAGAAAAAGATCACAATACTTATTGTAATTCTAAACTTTCGATTATCTATTGTTTGGACGCGCGGTTATAGTTTAAGCATATACAAGGACAAGGTCTTCGATAATTTGGTTTCTTAAATAGATCTATTCCAAAAGCTTTAATATTAGATAAAACAAAATTCTTCATAAGAGTACACTATAGGCTCCAAAGTAAGTAAATTTTGAATATATTTGCAAAATACGATGATTTTTGTGTATTTTAAAGACCTACAAGCTTTACAAAACCTTGGCCGCAACCTACGATCCAAAATGTTTTGTAACAAATAGGAGCCAGTAATGATATATCTCCATACTTTTGTTTATATTTTGAACTTGTTTTCAACATTAAATTTCTTTAGCCAAATTATATCAAGAAAGGGACAAAAAAACACAATTATTTTTTAATCAGCCAATCAATTGTTTGGATTCATCTTTAATTGTTTGAGTTCATCTTCTAATGTAGATATTAGCTTGTCAAAATTAGGACGACAGACCAAAATGTGTAGTATTATGCTTAGTTATACCATGAGCGCTGCTGAATAAAACAAAAAATATCGTATATAAAAACGTTTAAACAAAACATGAACAGGAAAATAACCATGTGGCACACCTTTCTGGATATCAGCCAAACTACTTAGTAGGCTGCCAACTTTTATGTGTTGTTTTCTAATTTTAAAAGGACACCACATGGGAAGAAACAGCATGAAAGGAAAGTTTGTCAAGTAAAAATTTCACGAGGTTAGCAATCTCGTTAAGATACCAGGATAAACATTTTGTACGACAATGCAGACGTCCACAAAAGATTCAGTAGTGACGTTCGAAAGGTTTTGCCAAATAGAGCTAAGGTAATCTATTCCTGGGGTAAAAAATCATTACCATAAAGAAAATTCAAAGTTTTGTAAACTTTCAATTTATAATTATGACAAGAATCTATACTCGGCTGTAAAAAAAAACCATTGATACCTATTACATAAGGGGATAATGAAACCAACCCTTAGCATCGTAATTAACAATGAAAATGAAAATACAGATATTGTTTTATAGAAATTTCCTGCACTAAAACTTTGGTTCATTTTTAATCAAGGAATATATACCTTTGACCGTATTTGGCTTAACCGTTGGTCTTCTTTTAGCTTAATTAGCTCTTCACACTGGTATTATGTTAATTTTAAAAGAATGACTTGTACAGACATTACATGTATGACCCTGCAATTGCCAAGTGTATTGCCACGATAGGGTAAATAACGACATTTGCAAGCGATTTATTATGTCAAATGTGTCTGGTACACTAAATCTGTTGTTGTCATGTGTAAGGTGTGGTAAATAAAGCCTTCGATGGCACAAGAAAACTACACGAGAAACCTCTTTTTAGAAGATAAAAGGTTTTTTTTCATATAAAACAGACAAAGTGTTAGATGCATGATTTTTTTTATTAGTTGTTATTGGCTTTGAACTAGCTGTCAGTAACTGCGATTACTCTCAGATCTGTACTTAGTGTCTTTTTGTTGTTGGGATGTACAAGTTCCCGGCCACGTCCACTCTGTTTTTTGTTAGACTGATGTATTTCTATTTGTATCCATCTGATGAGTTAAGCCTTTTTCAACTGAATTTTATAGTTCGTTCTTATGTTATACTGTTACACCACTGTCCCAGGTTGGGGGGAGGATTGGGATCCCGCTTACATGTTTAACCCCGCCACATTCTGTATGTATGTGCATGTCCCAAGTCAGGAGCCTGTAATTCAGTGGTTATCGTTTGTTGCTGTACATGTGTTACATATTTGTTTTTCGTTCATTTTTTTGTACATAAATTAGGCCGTTAGTTTTCTCATTTGAATTGTTTTACAATTGTCATTTCGGGACCTTTTATAGCTGACTATGCGTTATGGGGTTTGCTCATTTTTGAAGGCCGTACGGTGACCTATAGTTGTTAATTTCTGTGTCATTTGGTCTCTTGTGAAGAGTTGTCTTATTGGCAATCATACCACATCTTTTTTATAAACTCTGCCAAATTCTGTATTTGCCTGTCGTTAGGAGCCTGTTCAGGGGTTGTCGCTTGTTGCTGGATATCAGAAAATAACCAAACTACCTCCACTTCATTTTAACTTTGGTGGATAGTTGTCTCACTGACCACACCTCCTTATATATAGTGTAGTCACTGGACAACAACATTGAGATCACGGTCGGGTGAAATGTTCCTGACTAACAAGCTCAATTTATATACTACCACTGCACTAAATTAAGTGCATCAGGGGCTGGTTTTACGAACTTATCATAAGACCTGTCATAAGATATATCTTAGGACATGTCTTATGATCCTCTTGTGACTATCTAAGGACATATTTCAGACCTGGCCTCGAAGCTGTCTTAGGATGATCTTAGTAAAGATATCCTTAACCTGTCGCAAGTTCTTTAAATTCTAAATATTAACATAGATTTTTGGAAAAATTCATGTAAATGAAGTATATGTACCATAAATTATTAAACGTATGAATTAATATTCCAAAATAAGATACTTTGCAAAATTAATATAAAAAATAAGTGTAATTTATATAAATAATCTATCAATAATACAACAATATACATATGAAAATTCGAATACAAAATGGAGAAAAAAAGAATAAAATGATGACAATTTTTTTTTTGTACAAGTGAGTTGAATTCAATTTGTCACTATATCGGTTATAATATCGAGGTTAAAGGAAGAAATCGTGCATTCTTGCTATAAATACATCAAATGTTTATTGTTGATAAATCATTGTCAGGGTCTCTGAATATTCTATTTTTGCGTATATTTTGTTGTCGTCGTCTGAGGTGCATTAAAACTACAGCAGTCATATTTGTTTACACTAATGTTAGGACAGCATAACGATGTCTTAACTTGTGACTATCCTAAGACCATCACAAGACACCTCCCGTGTTGTCCTAACTTTATGATCAACTTAAAGAGATGTCCTAAGTAAGGACCACTTTGTGAAACCCTCTTAGGACTAAAAATATTTAGTAAGGCCAACCTTAGACATGTCTTAGTCTTAAGACAGGTTTGTGGAACTGACCCCAGGTTCTTAAACTAATGAATCTAAAACAAAGTATATCTCTATATCGCGCTTTGTTTGTTGCTGTATATCATATTCGTTTTTCGTTTGTTGTTTTGTACATAAATCAGGCCGTTGGTTTTCTTGTTTAAACTATTAAACATTTTGTCAGGAACTCTCTTGATATGCGGTATACATTTTGTTCATTGTTGAAGGCTGTACAGTTACCTACAGTTGTTAAATTTTACGTCATTTAATCTCTGGTGCCAAGAATTAAGGTCAAGACTAAATACTCATGTTATACAATAATTTAAAGCAAGTATAAGTTGTGAATATGTTAATATCAGTAAAGCATAAATTAGGGTCAGACAAGTAAAACATGTTTTTACACCTGTTAGCAATCCCTTTGCCCTACATTAGGATTTCAATCCAAGTTAAAATAAATAATCACAAAACCAAGGAATACCACTAAAATGATGGTGACAGCTGTAAGACAGGCATATACATGTATGTAGTGCCTAGTACGTGCAATAAGCACATTATAGCTTCCGATACGGTATGAGTTTTGTTCATTGTTGAAAGCCGAACTTTGACCTATATAGTTGCTTAAATCTTTGCATTTGGTTTCTGGAGGATAGTCGCATTGGCAATCATATCATATCTCATTTTGAGTTAAGAACTGATGTCCTAAAATACACAGATACAACGGAATGATCATCAACTGATGTCCTTATATACACAGATACAACGGAATGACCAAACCACAAAACATAGCATTTGTTAG